GCTCGCGGGGAGCCTGGGGGCGTGCTGGGGTGCACCCGGGGCGGGGTGAGAAGGCCTGGGGAGCCCCCTGCACCTTTCGGCCCGGGGGGCTGAGCCAAATTCGAGCGCTCGGAGGCGCGGAGTTTGTTTCGTAGCTTGGGTCCCTTCTGTGCCGGGAACTCGCGGTGTGACCTTGAGCGTATCCCCACCGCCGCTGCCCGGCAGAGCCTGCTGGGCCACCCGGCCAGGGCCAGCAGGTGACTCCGGAGGCCCGCTGGACTGCAGTGCTTAGTGTTTACAGTTAATCCCTGTGGCGCCCCTTCCGTGTTGCCCCCTCCGCTCTCACTCCTCTTAAAACCTCACCCCTCTTCCTACAGACTCTTGCTCTGCTCGCTGACACCAGCCACTTCCCCGGCACTCTGCCCTGCCCCACCCCACCCCCGTGCTCGGGAGAGGGGACTCGCGTGGCCCCTCATCTGCCACCTCACGAAGGTGGCATTTCCTCGCAGGTGGGCCCCACCGAAATCCAGAGCCTGCCAAGGCCAAGCTAAGGAGAAGGGTGGACTGCATACAAAAGGACCCTCTAAATTCAAGCCTTGTATGGTGGTGGCACATGTCTGTAAGCCTAGCACTAGGGAGGCTGAGGCAGGAGGATCACCATGAGTTTGAGACTACATAGTGAGTTCAAGGCCAGTCTGAAGTACATAGGGAAACCCTGTCTCCAAAACAAATCAAAAAAGACCTCTCTTTGAAAGGAGAGGACTCTGTGAGAGCCCCACTTCAATACACGCACTCACACGCACACACACACAGGCACACACACACCTGCATTCATGGACATAAAACATGCTAGTGACGCCAGAGCCCCTTTCATCTTGGGATCTCCTAGCGCCAGGCAGAGGTCTAATTACCCTAGCACCCCCTCTGGCCCCGCCGGTTCCCCCGCTGTCATTAGCCCAGTTTTACCAGCGGGGGCCACAGCCTTCCCACGGCTGCCAGGGCGGGGCCTGAGGCCTGCCTGAAGTCTGCCACTGGGTGTGTGTGTGTGTGTCTGTGAGTCTGTGAGCCGCTCTACTGATGCGGCACAATCACTGGCCGGGCAGGCTCCCTCATTCCAAGTTGGGCTGCCCTTGCACGCTCAGTTCTGGGGGAGCCACTTCCCTTACACGGGTGTGCAATGCACGGAGGGGCGGGCGTCTCTCTTGGGGGTCCCTGGGACCCCTGGGATGAAAACAGCAGCCAGGGTGAAACGCATGGAGTGTGCCGCGGCATGGTGGTGCCGGGGGAGCCTGCAGTGTGTGCAGTCAGCGCATAGCCAGCGAACCTGACTTCCGCCTGGGCCTGCATGCAGGGGACACGCAACAGCTGTGTGTGGGGGAGCTGCAGCTGCAGCCAGGGCAGTATGTGCAGTGAGAGGTGCACAGAGCGTGGCTGCCTGCCAGCGGAGGCCACCTCACCCATGGTCAGGGTTGGCTGCAACCCTGGTGAGCAGGGCTGCAGTGTGACACCCTCGGGGGCCATGCTGTACCCTGCGTGGAAATCATCCCTTGGGGGCAGGACTGCCAGAGGCTTTGGGAGCTGTCCGGGTGCTCGAGATGCACACTTACATTCTGCCTCCACCCAGCCGAGCTGGGAGGCAGGGAGAGGGGTCCAGCAGGAAGCAGGACTAGGCAGGGCAGACGGGACCCAGACGAGCAAGATGGAGATGCTCTTGTTTCCTCTCCCTCCATTCTGTGAGGACCGCATCTGCATCAGATGCAAGGCGCTAGATATTGGGGTGGGGGAGACTTCCTGAAATCCCTCCAGAAAGATCCTAAACGCAGAGCTAGAAAATGCAGCACTTCCTGATCCACTTCCCCCCCCCCGCCCCATGCCAGGCGCAAAGTGAGGCATCTTGAACTCAAAGACAGCGTTAGCCTGCCCGTCCTCTCCTCGCTCCCTCTCTCCCTCTCTCCCGGTCCCCAATATGGGCGGCTAACAGACCTGGGCGAGGGCAAAGTGAAGGGCACTTGGCCTCTGGAGCCGGCATCTGCAGTGGGTGCCAGGACCCAGCCCGGGGCTGCACCGATGACAGCCCGTGTCCTCGGGTGGCGCCATCCCCTTCCCACCGCATCCAGCCTGCCCACCTGTTTTGTGAAGTGTTTAGCTCTTCTTAGATTCAGTTCATCCCAGCTCCTGTTCCCTCCGTGCTGGGAAACCCCCCATCCAGGCTGTCCCCTCCCTCACCCACCCCTGCACCTATGAGGAAGCCGAGGGTGGGACAGGAGCAGCATCTTTAGGGACCCCCGAGAGGAGCTGTCTGGCAGCCCCCTCCCCTCCGCTTCGATTCCCGTTGCCAAGGAGGCAGCAGGCACAGCCTGTTCTCTGGGCTCTTGTTGGAGCAGCCGTGGCCAGGCCCCTCCTTCTTCCTCCCCGGCTGTTGCTAGGAGGCACCCCAAGATTCCTGGAGGATCTCACCCCTAAGAGCCAGGAGGTCCAGCTGACTTTCCGCAGAGCTTTCTCCCCGAAAAGCCTGGCTGCTAAGACCCCTCATAGCAACAGCACCTGTGCCCGGTAGCGTTGGACATCGCCAGCAGTGGCACAGGCCTGAGCCTGGGCCTCAGTAACTCCCCGCCCCATCTCGTCCACTTCCATATGTGGCGCTGGGCACTGAAGCCAGGGCCCCGAGAGCACAGGCAGAGTGCACCTTGCTGTGGAGTCCGCCCCCGACCCCCTCTGGACCCCCTGGAATCTGGGTGACGGCAGCAAGTGACGAGCTGTCGCAGACACCCCGTCTCCATCCCATGTGTTAGGGGTGCTCTGGAAAGACAGCCAAGGAAACCAAAGTACTGCCAGCTAAGACCCTAAAACACAGCTATCTCTCCTCCTGGTGATCTCTCCATCCAGCAGAAATGGAAGCCTGCTGGGGTGAAAAACTCTGTAATCCCAGCACCCAGGGTGACCAAGGCAAGAGGACTGCAAGTTTGACCCCAGCCTGAACCATCTAGAGACTTAGCAAGGCCCGGTGTCAAAGTAAAAACTAAACTGGGCTCAGTGGCACACGCCTGTAATCTAGTGACTCGAAAGACTGAGGCAGGAGTATTGCAAATTCAAGACCAGCCTGGGTACTTCCGTGAGAACTTATCTCAAAAATAAAATAAAATAGAGTTGGGGATTTAGCTCAGTGGTGCTGTGCCTGCCTCACATGCACTCCTGAGTTCAATCCCTGGTCCAAAATAAATAAAATTAAAAAATAATATGGGGGGGCATAAGGATTTAGCTCAGTGGCACTATGCCTACCTTGCCTGAGTTTGATTCCCAGTATTGAAAAAAATATACATATATTAATTAATTAACAATAAGGGCAGGGATATAGCTGAGTGGTCAAGTGCCTCTGGTTAAACCCCCAACACTACAGATAACCTAACAAGTAAATAAGTACTAATTTTAGAAAGAAACTATGTAGCCCAGTGGGGCCTCAGACTTTTGGGGATCCTCCTGCCTCAGCCTCCCAAATGCTGGGATTACAGGGTACATCACCACATCAAGTTTTGTTTTGTTTTCATATTTAACGTGTTTCAGGTACTAGATCCCCTGACGGTTCATAGCCAGCAGGAGAGAAGGGAGGAGAAGGTGGGATCTCTTTTACCATAAGAATTTGGGGCCCTCCAGCCTGCAGCCTTTCTCCTGCAGTTAGAAGAGAGAACTGGGCAGTCTAGTGTGGCAGTTAAGAGTATAAAATAGAGCACCTGATCCCATCCTGGTCACCCACACCTGTAGTCCCAGGATTTTGGGAGGCTGAGGCAGTTCAAGCCAGCTTGGGCAATTTAGCAAGACCCTGTCTATAAATAAAAAAGGGAGGGCTGGTCCCTAGTGCCCAAACAAAACAAAACAACAGCAACAGAACACAAAAAGAAAGAGTGGCTGGGGCTGGAGAGAGGGGCGTACAAAGGAAATGGCGGGCCGGTCTGGCTTCAGATTCGCAGCACACCTCTTCCCTCCACACCAGGAGTGAGAGCCGGGAGAGAGCCTGTTCCCTAGAGCGTCGGAGAGGAAACTGCAGCCAAGGCTGGTTCATGTTTGCCTTGCCCTGGGCAGGGGCAGCGGAAGTCGATGCAGGGCCACCCCGTAGGCCTCTTCCCCATCCGTCCCTCCACGTAAATAGGAAGCAGGGGCTTGATTTGGGAATGGATAGCGGAGGAAGTTGGTGTGGAGCCAGCTGTTTGAGTGCCTTAGGGTGCCTCTCTTCCCCATCCACCTGCTTCTCAGAGTCGGGGGCCCAGGCGAGCTTCCAAAGGAAAAGTGCTCTAGGTAGGGGGGTGACTCAGTTTCCCTCCAGAACAATGAGCTGCTGGAGTGCTCTGGGAGTGCTGCCTACTGACGTGCTCAGTGTTTCTGGGTTTCCAGGGCAGGATCCTTGCCCTTGTCCCCTGTCCATTCTCCACTAGTCTATATAAGGACTGTCTCTCCCCGAGGTCCCCAAACCCTGTTTCTTGCAGCTTCTCACTCTACTCTGGCCTCATTTCATGTTGTTTTTGGTCGTGGTTTTTGGCCCCCATTCCAGATGTCACCATGTCCCTCTGCCTGCTTGCTCCCCTGTCCCCTCCTCCAGCCAGCGAGGTGACCATGTAGGGTGGCAAAGGTCGCAGCCCGGCCCGTTGGTGCAGAGGGATGCCTGGGGACACTGGAATAAGAGGAGGGGGCCGGGAGTGGTGGCCCACGCCTGTAATCCCAGCCCTCGGGAGGCTGAGGCAGGAGGATCGCTGTGAGTTCAAGACCAGCCTGAGCTACACAGTGAGTTCCAGGTCAGTCTCAACTACACAGTGAGACCCTGTCTCAAAAAACCCCCCCCAAAAAAAGAGGAGGGGACTTTGAGAGGGCTGGGAACATTTCTTCGTATAGAATGTCTTCTCTCAATCTGTAGGATTATCTTGCAATCTTGTCCTTGCTGTGGTCAAGCCAGAGAGCTCAAGGGCATCCCTAGAAGATAAAGTATGGAGGAAGGGGTGGTGTAGGGAAAGGCCATTTCCGATATTTAAGATGAGAGACAGGAAGGTCAAAGTAGAGAAACTGAAAATGGCCATTGCCCAGGGGTGACGGACCCCCTGTATGCACACGTCCAGTCTTGGGGAAACCAGGCCAAGCCTGGAGGGACAGCTGCTGGGCAGAGACTGGGTGTGGGATTCAGGGAAGGCAGATGGCCTGGCTCCAGGCGCTGCCTGCTGTCACTATGAATGCAGAGGACGCCTCCCTGGAAATTGGCCTGACTTCCTGCCAGAGGGCGTGGTGTGAGCTCGGAGGAGCACCATCCTGGGACTGGACTAGAATATTCTCCCTTCCCAGGTGGACCAGACCCAACACGCAGCAAAGAGTAGCCACACAGTTGACCACTTCCCTTCAAAAGGGGCATTTGGTGGTGCACACCTGTAGTCTCAGCACTTGGGAGGCTGAGGCAGGACAATTGCCAGGAGCTAGAGTCCAGCCTGGGCTATATAGTCTCAAAAAACAGGGAGAACAATGTGAGCTGTGAGTAATAGAAAAGGAGCTGCAGGGTCCAGCAATGGCTCTGGGTGCGGGTCTTGGGCTGTTGTGACAGGAAGGGAATAGGAGGTCGGAGCAGGCAAAGGGGGACTGTAGAACCCGGGGAAGATGGGAAATCAGGCAGGTGAGAGCTGGCACCAAGTGAGTCTCTGGTCGGAGTCAGGTGCAGGTATAAGTGGCTGGGAGTCCTGGAGGTTAGAGGAGAAGAGTCTGAGTTCTCCCTCCTCCCTGCTTTGGATGTCTGACAGCTGACCACTGGAATTGAACTCAAGCCCTTCATACTGAGCTATACCTGCAGTCTTTTTTTTTTTTTTTTTTTAATTTTGAGACAGGGTTTTACTAAATTGCTAAATTGACCAGGCTGAGCTTGAATTTGCAATCCTCCTGCCTCAATCTCCCAGAGTGCTGGAATTACAGATATGAGCCACCATGCCCAGATGGAAGTTTTAGATTTATAGGAAAAAAAAAAAAAAGAAAAGAAAAGAAAGAAAGATAGTAGAGAGTTCCTGTGTACTCCAAATCCACTTTCTTTTTATTTTGTTTTGCTTGATACTGGGCATTGAACCCAGGGTCTCAACCCTGTGCTACATCGCCAGCCCTGTCTTGTTTTGAGACAGGGTCTTGCTAAGTCTCTGGGTTGCAGAAGCAGTATTCAGGATCAGGAGATTCTGGGGGAAATGTCCTTGTGAAATACAGGTGTGGAAAATGTGCTGAGCCCTTTCTGGGCCTACTAACTAGACTGGAGTGTAACCAAAGGGTGTCAGAATAATACTGAAAGTTCTGCAGTGACCTCATTGGGCGACGCCCGGTTGCTCCAGGACCCCAGAGTCTCTGTAGTGCCCCCGCTCCTCGGAGATCCTCCCTTAAAGTACAGAAGCCAAGAAGCCCGATTATATTCATCCCTGAGCTTCCTCTCCCACTGAGACAAACGTGGAGCCAGACTGAAGACTACTAGTCCCAGAAGGCACTGCGGCGGATTTTTTTTTTCGCTTGCTCCATTTTTATTGGCTTCTGCCAGTAATGCCCAGCCAATAGAAAATGAGTTCCTTGATAGGTTTCAACATGGCGCTGCCTAGGAGGTAGGATTCGATTGTCCGGTAGGCTTAAATTTGGGGAGGTGGTGGATGAAAAGGACATAGGGAATTATAGTTTCGGAGGAAGATGGAGGGGCTGGGTGGGGGAGGGATCTAGGTGTGGGGTAGTAGTGACTGAGGGTTACAGCCAGAGGTAAGGGAGTAATTAAGCAACTGGGGCTGATTTATCCGCTTCTTGAACTCTTTAGTCTTTGTATTAGCTTCTTTTACAGTTTTCCTGATTATTTTTTGGCTTTGTGAGACAGGTCTCGCTATGTAGTTCAGACTGGCCTTGAATTCAGTCTGTAGCCCAGACTGGCCTCGAACTCGCGGCGATCTTCCTACTTCAGCCTTACGAGTGATTACAGGTATGCCTAAACCCGGCCTTTTTAGCTTCTTTGACACCTTTTTCTCAGTGCCATAGTTCAAAGAAGGATGATTCCGGAGGGGAGACCCTGACAGGACTTCTACTTTGCCCTCTGCCCCTCTTTTCTGTCTAGTTCCTTTGCGTTGCTTAAATCTTCCTGGATCTCCATTCTGTGTAACTTTGCCTTCCCAATCTTTTACTCAGGACTCCATCTCTAGTTCCATTCCTCACACATCAAAGCTAAAGGCCCCTGGCCCCAC